CCCCGCTCCCGGCCTGGTGGGGGCTGCTCCGGGGGCTGCTTCTCGCCGCGCTGGCAGCGGGTGAGGCTGGTGGGGAGAGGGGCGGGCCCGGCCTCCCCCTCTCTGGGGCTGCTCCGCGGCTCGAGGCGGAGGGAGGGAGGGTCTCGCCTCGGGCCCCCTTTGAGATGGCGGCACTGGGAGTCTTCGCTTGTCCCACTCTTAGCTGGGGAGGGGCTAATCTTTCCTCCCCAGTCCCGAGTCGGGGGGAGATGCGGGCAGTCCCCGGTTTGTCCCTCTCTGAGGCGGGGCTGTTTCTTTCCCCCAGGCTCCTGCCAGGGGAACTCTGTGGAGAGGAAGATCTACATCCCCCTGAACAAAACGGCGCCGTGCGTTCGCCTCCTGAACGCCACCCACCAGATCGGCTGCCAGTGTGAGTACAGCTGTGGGACCCCAGAGCTGCTCTGTGGGTGATGGGGGGAGGGATGCAGCTCCCCTCTCGGGCTTGCCCAGATCAATACTGCCCTTGTTCTCAGCTCTCTTTTCCAATAACGCTGACTATGCTGACCTGTTTTTGCTAAATTGAGAGGTGGAGACCTTAGAGAGACCTTGTGCCTACAGACCTCGAAAATCCCTGCGAAGGCAGAAAGCAGCATTTTGAGCTTGTGCAGTCAGCGCGCACACACGGCAAAACAGCACCACGGCTTTCAGGGGTACAAAGCAAAGCTGGGAGGGCTGCAGGATGCATTAGGGGTTAACAACGGAGGAGAGAAAGGGAGGAGAGAGTGAAGAAGTGAGGTGATGTCTGAAGGGAGTAGAGGGTTTGGCTGAGCTGTTCATGCAGTGTTCATTAACGTTGTAAGATTTTTTTTTTTTTGTCGTATTGAAATGGGGAAGGCAGGACAGCATGACTGTGAAAAGATAGATAAGAAAATCCTGTTCAAGCAGCCTTCCTGGTTGAAGTGAGTGTGAGTCAGTGTTTTTCTTGTTTCCAGTTCAGTTTTGCTTCCACGTGGGAGCCGCTCCCTGGAGCAGAGGTTGTCAGCTGCCACTACAGGGCAGCACAGCTGCGCTCGGTCTGTCAGATAACCGAGGGTACAAAGTTCTCTGACTCCTCTTCCACCCTCTGCATGAGCCTAGTGTTTGGGCAGACAGCCCTACGCTGTCCTGCCTTCCCGGTCACAGGCAGTTTCTGACGATAACAGCAGCTACTCACCGGGGGTTGACAAAGTGCTTGTTTTTATCAGTAGCTTCTTCTGAAAGCGCTTTGTTCATCATCTATTTTCTTTGGGACAAGGTGTGATGGCAAGCAGCAGACCTGCTTTGTTGCTAGTCCCCTTTGCTGTCACAGTTTTTTGCCCCCTGTGCTCCTCCGGGCCTCATGCTGAGCTGTCTCTGAGCTCTCAACTTCTGAATTTGCCATCTTTTCTCTTTGCTGAGGGGCAGCATTAAACTGTTTCTGTCACTGTGGTCCTTGAGGCAGGTCCTGTCTCCTCTGAGTACTTTTCTGTCTCAGGGTCTCAATTTCTCCTATCCTTATTCTTTTCAGTCATAGGAGACTTATAGTGCTTAGTTAGCTGAAGATCCTTAAGTGCTTTGATGCGCTTAAACAAAAGATTCTTTCAAATCATTAGTTCTTCATCTAGGATGTTCGGCTTCCCTCCCCACCCCAACTAAAAGCCACTGTTTCTTTTTCTGCTTTGCTGTAGCCTAATGGCTACAGATTGCTTCTTCCAGCCCTCTAATCCCATGACTTGTTCTTCCCTGAAGCCCTCACTGACATACTGCCCTGCTATCCCGGGGTGGTTTGAGGGTGTGAACGAAGTACATGGCTGTGAAACGCGAAGGGCACACTCTTTCCACAGCCTCCATCAGCGGAGACACGGGGGTGATCCATGTGGTTGAGAAGGAGGAGGATCTGAACTGGGTGCTTGCTGATGGCCCACACCCACCCTACATGATACTGCTGGATGGGAACCTCTTCAACAGGTCGGTCAGCAGCAGTTTTTACCTTCCCAGTGTGACTGGAGCCCAGAAGACCAATATAGGTCCCTAATCTGGTGATAAAAATGTCATTTTTCAAGTGACAGATGGCAGAATCAGCCCCAACTGCACTGAAGTATAGCAAGGTTGAAACATTTGTGGCTTTACTGTGGTTTAGTGCCTGAATTTATTTCTTCTTAAACGAGCTGCTTTGCTGCTCTACTGGGTGTAAATCCTCATGCCATGTTCATCACTGTCACAGTTACTAAAGTTCATTAAACAATGTTATAAAGATTGGTCACGTCTCTTCCCGGAGAGAGCAGGAAAGAAGTGGCTGAAGTTTTCTGCTCGTTGCTGCACACATAATCCTATACAGTTTTGAAAAGATTAAGAAAAAGGGACGTGTTGGTTATTTTAACCAAAAGCATCATCACATGCTTGACTGTAATACATCAGCATTAGTATGTCTTGGATTGGAACCCTTCATTAAGGAATTCATAATTCCAGTCGTATTTTCTCTCTTCCAGGAGGGTAATGCTGCAGCTGAAGGGCACCTCACGGGTGTCAGGCCTTGCTGTGGCCATTGCCAAGCCCAGCCCTCCCCAGGGATTCTCTCCTGGTTTGAAGTGCCCCAATGATGGGTTTGGTAAGGAAACGTTAAGTCTTTCGCCTCGCTGAAGAGAAATGGTGCCTTTACGTTGTACGGTCAAAGAGGGAAGTGCGAAGGATGGCTGAAATCACAGCTTCACTTTAATATCCAAATGGTGTTTAAAGTAACAGGCTCAACATGTTCTTTCAAAGTGGTTGGTGTGAGCTGGCATCTCATCACCCCTCGACAAGGGCTGGGACAGGGGTTTAGGGGAAGGCAGGCAGATAAGCTGGCTAAACCAGCATTAAACTGCTAAAGAGTTAAACCTGACCAAGGGTTGTTGTAAGTTTTCTTTTTTTAACGTGTGAAACTTGGATTTTGTCCCCACGGGATCGCAATAGCCCCTTGTGTTTGCATGGATTGAGTAACGTGTGTGTGTGTGTGTGTTAACCTCTGTCTGGGCCAGGCACTACTCTTTAATAGCTACATTCTGCCTCCCTCAATTCCCCCTGTGGTTTCAGTTAGGTTTTTCGTTTCGCTGCTTTTTCATGCGGCAAATTTATTGTGTTGCACTTTGAAGGGAGAAATTGCTACACCTTGTGTAGTTTGCACAAAGCTTGCTGCTCTGAAGGATGCCGTGTACGCTCCGGAGATGAGGTTGGTGTGCTGGTATTTGTCATGTCTCTGCCTTCCTGCTGTTTGCACAGTATCGAGGTGTTAAAATGATTGGCACGTTCTGGATGCCTTAGGGCTACTTCCAGCACAGGATGAGCTCAGAAAACACCGGGTTGGTGTGTTCCTCCTTTTGAAGGATGGTGTTTCTCCATGTGCCTCCTCCGCTCGCTCAATGGGTGATAAATGCTCACACCAGCCTCCTGGCACACGGTGCCTTTGAGCCTGCTTGTTCCTCATTCTCTCTGCGTGGCACAGCGCTCTGTCTCTGCCACTCTGCCGCATGCAGTCACCAACTCCATCTCTCCAAGCTTTTGTCAGCTGGTTCCTCAGCCCATAATGGGGCTCATTCTGGATTTGCTGCTATTTTCTCAGCAGGCCCTACCTCTCCTGCAGTCTGTTCTTCTCTTGCAGGCTCAGATTTGCCCATTTCTTTTCTCTTTCCAGGTGTCTATTCCAAAGATTACGGCCCTCAGTTTGCACACTGCAATAACACTGTGTGGAATCCCCTGGGCAGTGGACTTTCGTATGAGGATTTTGACTTCCCTATTTTTCTTCTTGAAGATGCCAACGAGACTCAAGTTATTAAGCAGGTACTGCACTTCCTCCACGAGTAGGAGAGGGGAGCTGCTGCACAGTTCAGGCAAGGGGGGCAGAAGTTTTGTTTTCTCTCAGCTTTAGGTGCTGAAATCTACGGTAAAAACATATAGTCCGACTTTATATGCAGTACACAATGCTGTTACAGAAAGGCTAAGTTTTGTGACAATTTTCATTCCCATCCAGTGTTATCAAGACCATAACGTCCCTCGGGATGGATCTGGCCCTGAGTACCCTCTCTGTGCCATGCAGCTTTTTTCCCACATGCACGCTGTCACCAGCACCGTGACCTGCATGAGACGCAGCTCCCTCCAAAGCACCTTCAGCATTAATCCAGGTGAGCAGATTCCTCTTTCCTTGTTATGATTTGGGATAAGGCTGGTGGTTAAAAATCCGGGTGGAATACAGTTGTGCAAAAGAAAGAAAATTTTAGAGTTTTCCTACAGGCTTGCTTGCCAGCTGAGCCTTTTCAGAATAAACTATTGAAGTGGTAAGGAATTTTGGGCTATGTGTGTCATCAGGTTAGAAAATAATGTGTAGAATTGATGCTGGCTGAGAAAAACACCTAATACTTGCTACGTAGATCAAGAACAGCTCTGAGGTTACTGCTCCGTTAGACTGTGTATGTGGGTTGGGATCGTGGTCCCACTGAATGTTTTGCCGGTGACTGTCCTGGGGCCAGGACTTCACCCCTGCTGAGCAGTTTGCTGCTCTGATAGAACCACCGCTGAGCTACAGCTGACCAGAAAGCTCATTTCTCTCTTAGCACTGCTGTAGTCTCAACTCGACCACTGTTGTTTCTGCTTCCTAGAGGTTGTATGTGATCCTCTTCTTGATTACAACGTGTGGAGCACCTTGCAACCTATTAATTCCTCTGGAAAAGTCGATGCTGAGAAGGAAGTTATTATTGTCGCTACACGAGTAGGTACCTCTTAATCTTGCTTTGTAGAGTGTGGACTGGAAGGATTCTGGGAAAGACGTGGGCTTCAAGCCTCATGGGACTATACTTCTCATCTCTTTTCATTTCTTTCCATGTTCCAAACACTTTACATCTGACTGGCTGTTGTATTTCTGCAAGTATAAGACTTGTAGTTGGTGGGTTTACCTGTTGTTTCAATAGAAGGACACCTGCGTTTTGTTTCTTTCTGTCTTATGTGAGACTTTTTTTCAGCATTTTCTTCACTGATGGAACCACACAAGTAGAAATAGTCTGTTATGCTTTCTTAATATATTTCACTCTCTGCAGTGTTGCAGAGAGGGAGGCAGCATGGTTGGCTCATCTTTATTTTGGGGGGGGCGGTACAGGCTGAATCACATAGAGATTTTGTTGCTTGTTGAGCAGCTCAGTGTCAGAGCTAAGAAAGAAGTTTACTTCCCTGTCTAGCAGTCTGGTTTACGGTCACTTTACACCCTCCAGAGATGCAAAACTCCATTTTGTCACCATCTCAGAGCCTGGTGCTGAACAGGGATGCTAGCATTAAGATTCTGGCCCAGCTGACAATGTCAGTTTTCAGGGCAGAGCGGTGGCAATGCTCTGAGGCCTCAGGACTGCCACAGCAGCACAACTGGTATTTATTTTAAGCTTCATGAGGCGAGGTGCTGTGGCTCTTCCCTTATCAGCAGGATGAGTGGATAGGAAAGAGGTGATAGATTTGCTTTCCCAATACAGTATTCCTCTGTCTGCATGTGCTTTTCTTACCCCTCCTGTTCATGCTTTACAGATTGACAGCCATTCCTTCTTCTGGAACATTGCACCTGGGGCAGAGAGCGCTGTCTCTTCTTTTGTGACCCACTTGGCTGCTGCTGAAGCCCTTCATAAAGCATCAGATGTTCATTTGCTGCAAAGGAATATAATGTTCACCTTCTTCCAAGGGGTAAGAGCCGCAGCATCGCTCCACCATTTGGCTTGTTCTAAGATAGAAAACTAGCCTTTGGCTCCCCACAAATGAACTTTTTCCCTACTCTTTGTGCGGAGTCATTTGTCTGCATCCCCACTTTGTGATTCTCTCCGCTCCCCCAGTGAGAACAGGAGCTTAATTGCACTGGGATAACAGCAGCAGATGGAGCTTCCACTGGGGCAACCCATATTCTGCCCCACAGTTCATTCTGAATGAATGACTCAAACTTTGCTTTCCCTCCTGTCTCCTCCCAGCGTGCCTGTCTGTATGTCTGTTCTCTACCTCACCCCCCTTCAGGATGGACTGCCATGGCCAGGCTTTAAATTCTGAAATAAAGCCCAGAAAAGGCTAAATTAAAAATATATGTGTTGACAACAACGAAATGGAGCTCATTTCTGAGAGCCCAGCGCTGGAGTTGGCAGCTGTGGAAAGGCAGAACAAGCGTGTGGAGGAGGGACTGATGGCCAACAGCTGATGTTCCCCTCAAGGCATCTACATTGATGGCTTCTTTTGTGCAGCTTTGTGAAACTGGCTCCCACAGCCCCATGCTGTGGCCATGTGATTCCCTTCATTCACCCTCCTCAGCACATACATCCCGAGTCAGAATTTCCCTGAGGGAGGCAGGCAGGGTGGGCGGCGCTCTGGAGCAGACACTCTCTGTCCCGCTCTCAGGATATAAGAGGAATGATAAGATTTGGCTGTAAATTGGTCAAAGGGGGAGGTCTGGTGCCTGGCGGACTTCGGTGCCCTTCTCTGTCCTGGGGATTCTCTTCCTGGGGGCTCCTGTTCTTCCCCAGGCAGCGCTTGGCTTCTCGCAGCTCCCTTGACAAACTCATTTCTGTCATCTAACCTTCCCTCCCTTTTCCTCAGGGAAACGGACACCCTTCCTTTCAGGAAAGCTTCATACGTTTTAATTCCTGGAATGGAAAATTGCCCTTTTTCCCACTTGCTGTCCTCCTTATCAAAAAACAGAGGATGACATGCCAGAGTAAAGGCTGCCAGAGTAACACCTCTCTGGTATTGCAGTAACAGTATCTTGCTAGATATTGATGCTCACTTAAATCTGACTTTGCCTCTGTGCCTTTCTTGCTTGTGGAATTCAATGCCTGTCCTCTCGTTTTTTTGCTCTTTACCTTCCTTTTTTGTCCTTTGCTCCATCCCTTCCTACAATACCTTTGTCTTCGGAGCTAGGCACAGTGTCATCTTTACTTTGGTCATTTGGTGTGTGCCAGGCTCTGTGAACCTTCAGAAATAACCTGGTGCAGCCCTCGAACTCTTGGTTTTGGTCCACCTCAGCCCCTCTGGTAGTGCTGCTGGTGTGCCAGGCAGCTATCCCTATGTGATTCATGTGTGAGTTTTTTTCTCTGTTGCAGGAGACCTTTGATTACATTGGCAGCTCACGCATGGTGTATGATATGGAAAAAGACAAGTTTCCTCTCCGCTTGGACAACATTCATTCATTTGTGGAGATGAATCAGGTGTGGGATAAGTTAGAGGACCTTTTTATTCCCTTTCTCAGGGATAATTTAGCTGTGATTTTTCCCAGCCAGCCTTTCACTGTGTTTGATTATTTTATTTTTTTTTCCCTGGAGTGGATTTCCCTGCTCTGCAAGACTCAATGATTTCCAATCACATACTTAAGGTGGTTTGTTTCTTTTTTTTTTTTTTTCTTGAAGGTGGCTCTAAGGAATGCCTCAGTTCTGTGGATGCACACAGACCCCGTCTCTCGGCTGAATAAATCTGTTGAAGTGCAGGTAATCAAAAACAATCTGTAGTTGTTCATCTCACTGAAAAGCTGCAGGATGTTTAGCCCGCTGCAGATGATCAATGTGCATATTTTGCTTTCTAGAGAAATTACACCCCAAAAGAACAGCGGAACGGTGCTGTTTGCTCTTCTTTCAGGTTAGAATATTGCTAGATATTCTGAGTAATAGCAGCGTGGGAGCGAACGTGACTTTGCAGGAGGCTGGATATTCACAGCCTCTTCCCCCATCGTCCTTCCAGCGCTTCCTTCGGGCCCGGCACATCCCCGGGGTGGTGCTGACCGACCACAGGACTGCCTTCCAGAACAGGTACTGCTGCGGGGGGGGGCGGGCACGGGGCTGGCCCACACCGGGCCCGGACTGGCCCACGGGCACAGGCCAGCCCACGGCCAGAGGCAGCAGAGCCGGCAGAGGGCATCTGAGCTCCTGCAAGGCCTCTGCCAGGGCTGTGCTGCCCAACATACATGTAGAGCCGCAGTCTGGGGGGAGCAGAGGAGCAAACATGTGCCATGTAATTGAACAAGCGCAACATAATTATTCTGACAACCGAAAGAAATCCAGTTTTGTACAGAAAATGTTCCCCACAGCTGGCTGAAAGCCAGAGGTGAGCAAATGGCAACTGAGCGTGCCTAAGCCTCATCTGTTCTTCCAGAAGCTAGCTGCTTTTTTTTTTTTTTTCTTTTTTTTTAATTTATTTTTAATACAGCTTTCTATTTGTGATGGCAGAAAGCCCCAGGCATTGGAAAGGGCACTTTCATTCACCCCACATGACCCTACTACAGCGTGTCCTTGGGGATCCTCTGCCCCTCTTCAACTTTGGAAGTAGAAATGTGGGGCAGAGGACAGACAGTTACCTCTCCCCTTTTTCGTGAACTCTTCAGATGATCTCTTTCCCTTCATCTTCTATCTTTCTCTGCTCTTTCTGAGAATCGAATCTGAAAATCCTTCTCTGCTGTTTCTGGAGCAATTGAGGGGAAGCAGCTTCCCTTTCACCTCTAAATCTGCCCTGCTCCAATGGGGTAGGAAGAGCTGGGGTGGAGGAAAGCACAACTCAGTGCTGTGACCCATCTTTAGACGGGGGGGATCAGTCCCAGCTTGGCTGGGGATGTCAGGTGCACAGACCATGCAGTGGGCTCTCAGCCCAGTCCCCAGTTCAGCTGCGTGTGCTGCAGATGCTTTGGTGTAAATCTCTCCTAGAGTTCACTTGGAATTCCTCACTGCCTCCAAGATAAGACATTAATAAAATCCACTGGCACGACTTGCATCAAAGCCCTCTTCCCAGGAGACCTTGTGCACGGATTGTCCTTGCCTCAGTTTCTCTACTCATTTAATAGATTGGGCTGTCGCCCACCTGAAAGCTAATCACAGCTTGTAAATTGCTTGGAGATCCTCAGATGGGAGAAGCTGTGGAAGGGCCAAGTTAATTATAAAGCCTCATTAAATGGTTTAAGGAGCGTGTGGCAGGGCAGTGCTTTGGCAGGGCTGTATCTCTGCTCCCAGGAGACTGCTCCCACTGTTTGCTTTAGGCACACTCTGAATTGAATTCCATGCCCTGTGGTTTCCTTCTGCCCCTCCCCAACCTCTGTTTGCCTCCTTCTCTTTCAGATACTACCAGAGCATGTACGACACTCCCGAGAACATCCAGATGCAGTACCCCGAGGGACTCAGCCCTGAGGAGACCTTGGAGTATGTCACAGACACGGCCAAGGTTCCCACTTCACATTTTCTTTAGCTGCTTTATCTGGGGTGGATGGGGCGGACAAAAGTGGGGTCATGGGGAGAAGGGGAAAGCTCTTTTCCTGAAAGGGCAGAAGGAAGGTAGGAGTGCTTTGTACAGCAACAGAGGCCATAGGCACTCCACGGTGTAAGCGTTTTGATGGATGTGTAGGTTCTGGCTTGCTCTCCGTGCTTGTTTTGCTGGATCTGCCTATCTTGATTAACACAGAGCACTCTTCCTTTGCAGTCCCTGGCAGAAGTTGCCACAGTGGTCGCCCGTGCTCTCTACCGGCTTGCAGGGGGAGCCAACAACACCTCTGCTATTCAGGCAGATCCAAAAACGGTACGAGCAGATGGAATTGAGTCCCTGGCATCTCTGATGAGCCCTCACGTACTTCCCTTCTGTCTCTGTTTATATGTGTTTACACAGCATGCTGTCCTGTCTGTCTCCGTGAGGGCTTTGCCTCCCCCCTTCTCTCTTTCCCCACTACAGCTGAATGAAAAACCTTTCACCCTTCTCTAGTGCCTCGCCTTTCCATCTCAGGGCAGACATTAAGCTTCACAAAACCGAGCTCCTTTACCCTCGTTCCACAAAACAGGAGAGGAAGCTGAGGTGAAATGGCAACATGTGCCACAGGGATCAGCTAAGGAGTCAGTGGAGCTGGAATCAAACCCAATTTTCTCAGCTTGGTCCTGAATTACATACAGTTGGGACATACAGTCTCTCATTTGCTGTACTCTTGGCCCCTGTAGAGGGAAACATCTATCAGCCGAGTAGTCTTAAGAGGTATAGCTGTTCTCTCCTCTTCATATAAACCAATTTCCATCTCTTTCCAGGTCTCTCGAATGCTGTATGGGTTTCTGATTAAAATGAACAATTCCTGGTTTCAGTCCATCATTAAACCAGACATAAAAGGAATTCTGGGTAAGAGCAACACAGGGAGGAAGAACCCGAGGATGGGTTTGACCCCATATGTTACCTGGCAGCTTTCTGACGGGCCATGCTAACACTGCTTCTGGCCATCTCCCTGCCAATCCCATTTCTCTGACTGTTCCAGGTGACGTTCCCCAACATTACGTCGCTGTTTCCAGCCCTGTGAACACGACCTACCTTGTACAATATGTCCTGGCCAACCTTACGGGCACAGTTGTCAACCTCACCAAGGAAGAGTGCCTGAACCCTGAAAAAACACCCAGCAGCGAGAAAGAAGTAAGTATCCGTTCGAGTGGGATGATACATAAAAACAGGTCTGCTGTCCAGTTCGCTGGTTTTCTGCTTAATTGCTCGTAATAACATGTGGGAGAACTGGAAAACTCCTCCAACAAGGAGATGTCTTAATGCCTGAGGGGAGAAGTGGGCAAAAAGATGCCCTGAGAGTGAGAGCGGCCAGTAGAGCCTCTTTCTCTCTTTGCAGAGACATGGGTGAGGTTCCAGAACAAGGAGATAATTTGGTTATTTGCTAGTGGTTGTTTGCTGTCTCTTCCTCCCATTTTCTCTGCAGCTGTATGAATACGCCTGGGTGCAGGGTTCCCTGGAGCCAAACTCAACAGCACGAGTCCCCTACTGTGTCAGGTCAACTGTCCGCCTGAGCAAAGCCCTTTCTCCTGCCTTCGAGCTGCGGCAGTGGGGGTCTACGGAGTATTCCACGTGGACGGAGAGTCGGTGGAAAGAGATCCGTGCCCGGATATTTCTGGTAGCCAGCAAGGAGCTAGAGGTGAGTTTGTACACGTCTTGAAAAAGAAGGTAGCGGGAAAAAAAAAAAATATTCAGCTAGGTTTGAATAATGTCTCCTGACAGCTGGAGAAGCAGTTCAGTTTGTTAAAGGAACTTGTGCCATCATCCTGGGTGAGCTGCCCAGTCTGGCCTTAACAGGCTTTGATCCTTGAAAGGGGTAACCAAGCAGGCAGCCCTGGGGATAACCCTGCCACCTCCAGCCGTTTGGGGGTTAACACCACCGCTGAGGCCAAGACTGTGCAGAATAATCAAAAGTCCCATGAGCAGGCTGAGCTCTGTGAATAAAAGATAGAAATGACAGGAGTCTTAACCTCTTCCCCGAGCACGGGGAGCCGAGGCAATGAGTCTGGCTTAAGGTGTTTTGCAACGATGTGCAGCCCAGTTTTTCCTTCCTGCAGCTGGAACCCCCCTCTCGACAGCACAGAAATAACTTTGGCACAAACAAAAGCTGCTGTTGGCTCAGTGTCTCGGATTCGAAGCAGCCCTTCGCTGGGTGCGATGTGTTTTAAGTGCCAGCAGAATAAGGGTTAAACGTGGAGTCACTTTGGGACTCTCTGCCTCTCTTGATGCCCTCTGGTTGGCTGTTCATGATGTCATACCCTGTCAGGAGCGCTCAGCGCTGTCATCATCATGTGCTAGCCAAGCCACCCAAAGGCCATGCAAGCCCGGGCAATTGTTGCATCTCTCCATTTGGTTATTTGAAATCTGAGTAATTTATTTGTGTGGCACTGGGCCTTTTTAACACTCTCAGGCAAGCACAATGCCCTGCCTGTGTCCCTCGGCCCGTTACAGCCCAGTAGATACTGGTGCCCTGGAGATGCACAGTTTGAGCCCAGCCATCCCTGAAGTGTTGGCCTGATAGAAAATGCACTGAGAGAGTTGTAGCAGCGTGTGAGTGTCTGGCTGCTGTGCAGGGACTGTCCTGAGGTACCCAGGGGAGAGGGAAAGGCAGTTCCACTGTACAAGGGGAAGGGGTCACGGGAAGGAATCCAGCGAGGCCTTGGGCTGGGCTGGCGTTTAGGCTTCAGGAAAGGTGCTGAGCAGGAGGTAATCTCAGCTATGCAGAGGTTGTTGTCAAATGTTGATTCTGCCAGCAACTGTGCTTGTTGAAGGCATTTAGAGTTCCTTGCCAGAGGAGATGATGGTTCATGCAGGAGCAACCAAAGTGTCACGTTAAACTCTTGCTAAAAATCTGTGTGAACACGACAGGTTCTTTATCCATAATACAACTTCCTTCCCTTTCCTCTTAAACGTTGGTTTGTGTGCGCTGTTGATAACTGTGGCAAAAGCTGACCTGAGCCTGTGTGGCAGTCACTTTTGTCTGAGGCTTTATTTCTTTTTATTTCAAAGTACATCGTGCCTCAGCGGGGAACTGGCCTCTGTGACTTTCTGACAGAGACACCCCCCACACCCCCCCCTACCCGTTCGATGCAAATTCCGTGAGGTGCTGCCGGTCTGTGTTTTATAACGACGATGCTGAGTGTTTCTCATCCCTTCCTAGATAATCACGTTGGTTGTGGGCATTGCCATTCTGATCTTCTCCCTCCTCACCACGTATTTTATCAACGCCAAAGCGGATGTACTTTTTAGCATCCCACGGGACCCTGGGGCTGTGGCTTACTGAAGATGTTCTCGGGGCTTGAGGAGTCTTAGCCCTTGGATTGCAGTTGTCAAAGATAAAACTACACTGGAATTGCCCCTCTCTCTGGATAGGGACGTGGATGGTTCTCCCCAGAGCTTCCGTGCTGGGTTCTGGGAACCAAACCCTGAAACCTGAGAGACTTTCCCAGAAAACCGTGCCGACCAAGCCCTAAGGAAACTGTGACGGAGAAAAGTTCCCAAAGCCTTTCTTTTTAATTTGTCTTTCCTTCCGAGCAAGTTGAGAGGATTGGTCCTGAGACGACAATGTGATGGAGGCGTTCCCTAAATGAAGGCCGGGGTGGAAGGGGGGTAAAGGTGTTTTCTCTGGGATGTACGTGGACCAGCAGATTTCCGTGGTGTCCGACAGCACAGGCTGCCTGTTCGTGTCCGACAGTCGCTGTGAATCTGTGTATGCTACAGTGCAGGGAGGGCAAGTTGTGTTTAACAGATGATTAGGTGTAAAATGTCCTTTTTTTAATGGTGCAATATCTTCTGGGTTTTGTATATATATAAATAGTTCTGTTTAATTAAAAAAAAAAAAAATCTCCACCTACAAATTAACTCCTTGCCTGTTTTGTCTTAGTTGTTGCCAAAAGGACCAAAACCACTGGGTGTTGCAATATGTTTTGGTCTCAGGAGAAGCAGAGTTGGTCTGATCTGTTTGGGGGGTTTTTTTGGGTTTTTTTTTACTCGTGTTGAAACTTTTGAGTTCTTTTTACAGCTGGACAAAAGAAAGATGTTGTGCCCTCAGATGGGACAGGGAGTTAACTCCCCTTGTTTAGACTCTAAGCTCTCCAAGGCAGGGGTGGCTCATCACTCCAAGTGCTGCTTTGTATGGTGGCACCTTGATCCCGGTCGATCCCCAGGCGCTGATATAATAAATGTGGTTTTTAATGAGCGTATTCACACGATTTGTTTCCTTTGATTGCTTAGTGCTCAGCCAGACTTGGGCTCTCGGGGCCAGCGGTTATGACCAACCAGGCACTTGGATATTCCTGGTTTCTTTTGTATGAAAATGGACTTGTTCTTCAGCAGTCGTGATCTGAAGGTGGGATAGTGCTGTTGTCCAAAGCTCAAAAATATGTAGAGGATTAATTCCAGAAATCAGAATTTGCTAGCTCTAAAGCAGACTTTGCTTTCCCTTCTTTCAATGACAGCGATTTAAGTCTTTTTCTCAGCTGAGCATCCACTCATGAGTTTTGAAGTAATTCAGACCTTGTACCACCCCGAGGGACACTTTTTCCACTTGCTAATGCATCCTGCTATCAGGAAACTGCTCCTGATACTTGGTGGAATGTTTCTGTGCCTGATTTATTTTCATTTCTCCTAGCAATGCTGAAGAAACTTATATCTCAATTTACATGGAGATATCTTGTCTTTACAATAAGGATTTTCATAGCCTCTAACTCCTAATCTTTGGACTCGTTCCAACTTTGTCAGAACAAAATCAGTTCCCCAGAATTATTCAAGTAGACTATTTCTGTGCATGAAGGTATTTTGGGTGAGACGCAGGACCTCAAGGTAGCACGTGGTCTGGCAGAGAATTGCGTAGAATACGTTTCTTTCCTTCCCTAAGGTGAGTTTATTATTTATAATTTTTTACGTATCAAAATGCAAATGCTCAATCCGTGGTGGAGCAGTGCTGCAGTGAGAGATGTTGGGAGCGGTGATGGCTAATCAGCAAATTGGGTCAATATACACAGGATTCTTGATAATTTTCAAATTAAAAATGTGTCCTTCCCACACTGCTGTCTCCCATCTTTCAAATCTACATTCTGTGCTTGGCTTTGGGCTTTTTTTTGTTGTTGTTTTTCCCTCCCCACGAAGGCTTCTGGTTGGAATTTTTTTCTTTTTTTTCCTCGTTTCCCCCATACAAACAGAAATAAACCATTTTACCACTCCCAGCCCCATTTTCCACTCCCAGCTTTTTGTTCGGAGCTGCTCTCTGGCGAGGAGAACAAACAGCTGCCTCCGTTGCCTGTGCCTACGCCGCTCCTCGGATGGCCAACAGGTCTCCCCTGTGGCCAGCACGCTGCGCAGCCCTCCTATCAGTGCCTGACAAAATGAGGGGAGAAGCAAGGGGCTAGGCTGGCAGGCGCTGCCACAGAGACACATTTTCCCTCCTGCTGCCAACGCTGGAGAACACCACAAGTCTTCGCTTGACTGTCAGCCCAAATTTTACCCTAAGCTGGGGCTTTGCGTGTCCCTCAAACTGTCTTGGTGCCAGCAGCGTCGCTGCCCAGAGGGGTAAGAGGAAAGGCAGTGGCCGTCGGGTGTTTCCAGCCCTCCTTGGTGTGTTTTGCCATGGTCAGTAAATTCGTTTTGCTCAGCTGGCTTTTGATGATGAGGCTTGTGCCGTGCAGATCTGAGCCTTCCCTCCTCTGGGGAATTGGGCCTGAGTGTTGGATGGAAGGGGGTGGGGAAGAAATAGGATGGCAGGATTCATCTGGGAAGTAAATGAGCTACAAGAGTGAGCGTTCAACCCTCGGTTTCTCTTCCCCAGACTGGCTGCGGTCGCTGCCCCTTGCAGAGAGGGAGTTTCACCAGTGACACAGACCCTGCTCTGCCCTGTTTCACAGGGTGAGGGGATGCTCTTGAGACCTTGAGGTGAACAGTACTGGAAGGACAAAGGTGCTTTGTTAAAAGTAAAGCTAATGTTGGTGAAAGGAGCAGCTTTTTGTGTCGTGGAGAACAAAATCCCGTTTTATACGGAAACGAGACCACGTGGAAAGGTCTTGGGTTCACCTGCATCCCTCTCCAGATCATAAATGGGGCAAAGCGGGGAGGAATCGGGATCTCTGTGACCTATTCAGTTGTTTAGTCTCACTCCCGATCTTCAAACAAAGAGCTGACAGTGGATTTGGGAGTGCTCATTCCCCTCCCCTGAGACCAGGAAAGTCTTTGCTGCTTTTGTGTACGACGACTAAATCGCTGCCCCTTAGGGAGCTTCTGTCTGCTGCTTCGAGCCCAGGGTTAGTGTTTTAGCCCTGGAAAGGCTCCTTCTTAAGCCGTCCCTTCCATGCCTTCAGTCTGCGTGCAGTTATCTGCAGTAGGTACAGATCCCCAGTTTAAAAATGAAACAGGCTTGACCCCTCGTGTATCCTCCTTTGTAACGTGCTGGAGCTGCCTTTGGTTTGGGGCGAGCTGGGTCTCTGGTTCCTCCTCCCCATCCTGGTGTAACAGCAGCTGTCCTCAGCTGCGCAAACCTTAAAGTTGATAACTCCCCTGATACACTTTTCTCCATCACTCCTGAGATTATGTGCATTAATTAGAGCATCCCTAATGCTAATAAGCAACGGGGAATAAGTGCCTTCTCAGTACATTAATGTGGAAAGTAGTTGGAGTCTTGGCATACGCGTAGGCTTATTTTTATCTCTGTGATAGAAACAAAGTGACTCTGAGTTCTGAGGGGCGGCTGCATGTATTTCTGTGCTCTGCCTAAATAAGCTCGAGCCTAAGTTGTGCTGTGTGACGGCGCAAAGCCGGTGGTGCGGCCTTCTTTGAGGCAGGCCGACGTGAACGAGAGATAATTCCCTCAATTTGCTTTGATAATGAGAAAAGTTTGCATGGGAAATTATGCAAAAAACAGATGGAAAGCAAACAACTTCCCTGCTCCGTGTCTGGTTGGCTTTGAAGCGGCGGCTCACAGCAGAGTACCCCTGGCTGCCTCCTGGTCGAGGGAAGGGATGCGGCGAGCGCCGCTCGCATCTGTCGTCGCTGCTCCAGGAGGACATAGCCCAGCTGGGAAACGGTTCGCAGGAACGCTCTAGAGATACCTGGCTGTTTTCTGACTTCGACAGATTTCTCCTGGCAAACCTTGCTGCAGTGATTTCAAATCCTCTCCCGGCTGACAAAGGTTACCGTCTCTCTAGCGCAGTCAGCAGAGGAGACAAAAGCTCACTCCGTTTCAGTTCGGCGTCTCAGTCGAGAAACGCTCTCTTCTGACTCTTAGACTTTGGCTCGTTGCTCCAAAGCATGAGCACTTGAATTTCTTCCAGAACTACTACATTTTGAGGTGGTTTTACATCATTCCTGGTTTAACCGGTTCTTCCTGATGCTTCTAGATGCTGGATGGCTTTGAGTTCTGTCCAAGCACTTGGCATCTTTTAGGGCACTGAGTTCAGCAGGTCAGTTATTCTGCTGGTTTAGGGGGACGGGGGGTTCTGCAAACTTGCTCCCCTGCTCAGTGTTTGACCAAAGAAACAGGGAGGAATGGAGAAAACAGCTGAGCAGCCAAGGGCCAAGTCACCCTCAAGAGATGAAGCCTGGAGGAGGCAAGTTCTGCAGCCCTCTGCCAGGGGAAGAGAAGTGATGCAACTTCTAGCCTGTCTTGCTGAACTGCTCCTCAAAATAAACAGGGTGTTGACGCCAGCGCAGGCTGGGGCTACTGCTCCCAGGGGCAGTTGCTGGGCTGCACCTTGTGCTCTCAAAAGCAAAGGCAGCAGCTCTGTGCCTGTTCCCATCTCCCTACACCCGGCTGCAGTGGGTCTGGTGCTGACAGTCAGCCCTGGAGAAGACCGACGGGACACTGGAACCACCTTTCCATTTGTGCTTGGAGAGAAGTAATCCACTACCTGCTGCCAGCTTGTTTGGCTACAAGGTGTCAAGCCAGGAGTAAAACCTCAGGCTCTCGGCCTCGCTTTCCTCCTGACTGGCCTCCCAAATCGGGTTCGTCCCTGTACCTTGCATTTCACGCAACCCTGAGAAGTCCTGTCCTTACTGATAACCCCACAGACCCTCCGTGGAACTCCCACCCATGCCTCTGGTACTGAGAGAGTGTTTGGCTTCCCCCAAACCCAGCTACATCAAAGCCCAGACTAGGATTTTGGGCAGCCCCTGACTCCTCTTGCTGAGGAGGGCAGCTGGCACATGCTGTCTCTGCCGTAGAGCCCCCAGGCATCTTGCTGAGACACACGCTCCCCCCTTCATGCACACACATAATTTGCAAGCATCAATTTCCTCTCCTCTCTCCCCACGCAACTCTACCAGGGATTTCTGCACAAAAAGAAGATGCCACTGACTCTCTTGACCTCTGAACTCAGCTGTCTCCTGGGAGGCAGAGGGCTGGGGCTGAGCCCAGAGAGGAGGGTTTGCAGCTGCCCTTGTGCCCTGAGGGGGGAGACATATGGGGGTGACAGTCAATGAGACAAGGAGAAAGGAGAGGAAATGTGTGTTTTCTTAGCGCCCGGCCTCCCAGCTCCTGGGAACTTTATGGCTTTGGAATATTAAGAGGCAGGAAAGTTAATTAATACCCAGAACAAAGCCAGGGCTGTTTGGCTGCTGGGAGAAGGAAGCAGTGGAGACAGGAAGAAAGAATTGGTGTTATCTTAAATAATTTGTTTTCTGTGTTTTATCGGCAGCGAAGATAGAGATGAAGGCCACTGCAGGGGTGAAGGGATTGACTTTTGGAGACCAGAGAAGGAGACTCTCTGACAAAGGGCAGGAGAGTTTGTCGGGGGAGCTGTAGGAGCAGCTCCCTCTGTGTTATTCAAGGTGGGGACTGTGCTGGGGGCATTGCAGAGCAGTGTTGGTAGTATCGTGCTGGCTTATCTTGAAGAAGTTGCTATTTCTCTTACTTGAGATGACACTTCTGCTCCCCACGTAGCATCCTTCCTCTCCAGTCTGCCCAGCTTCTGCTGCCTCTCCCGTTCCCAGCATGGAGTGGTGACTGCAGCTGGCCGGAGTCGAGCTGTCCCAGGGATGGCCATGCCAGGCCTGTCCTTCACCCCCTTCCCTTCCCAGCGGGCTGGGATCTAGCTCAGGATTTAGAGACACAGAGGTGTTGCTCACACGCCACTTTAAAGCATATAGAGACATCCAGACCCTGTTTTCACAAGTGGCAAGTGCTTAGGCGTGGATTCCTCAAAGGAGAGCGTTTAGCTTTAACTCCCAAATAAATACCTGGAGCAAACCTGCTACCTGCCACAAGAGCTGCTCCTCTGCGTGGCTTTGAACGTGCTCTAGATCAGTCTGTGCTGTATAAAGACTTCTGAGCCCTTTGTGCCCTGTACCTTGAGTCTCTGAAGCGGGTCCGAGCCCATCCTTTGTTGACATAGACTGGCAGGTCTTTGGTCCTTGGGCCAGGGAAGTGGGTAGGGATGTGTTGGAGCCTCTGTGTGATGCTGCTGTCTACAGGATGCATCCAGTCCTGTGTCCCGGTCCGGAGCTCTGTCCTGTAGCCTGTGGTCGCTCTGCACTAGCCCTGCTGCCATGGTTGTTGACAACTGCTTTCTGTGTCCTACTCATGAGCAGCAGCGAGGTCCAGCTGAAGGAGCGGAGGCAGCTTAGCCCAGGATAACTGTTGCAGCAAACAAGGGCCATTGGCTGGCGCCCAGCAGGCATCTGAGTCCAACATGTGTTTAAAATCAGGGTCTGACTACTACAAATAGGAGCGTAGGAATTGCCAGACTGGATCAAGCCCAGGGTCCATCTTTGCCACCGCCCTTGTCTCCGACAGAAACCAGCACCCGCTGCCGCTGGGAAAGGCCCTGGGGTGACCCCGCACCCCAAACCCACAATACCCAGATACCCGGGCACCCCGTTCCCTCACTGGGTACCACTGCAGCTGTCTGCCCTGGCTCTGCTCGACCTTGTCTTCTCTCTGTTTGCAGCGAGAACATCCAATTGGATCTCACCACCACGCTGCACCTCTGTCCATCCATCCGTCTGTCCATCGTCCAACCCGTTGGGTGCATTCCTGGAGAAAAATACCAGGGCTGGAGAAAAAGGAAGGTAGTTTAGTGCGATACCGATTCCAGCGTGTGCTTCCCCAGCCTGGCGTGCCTGGGCCTTTTCTCTCCAGCCTCTTTCACCTCTGTGTCCAGCCCAAGCACTTGCGTGTGGTGCAACGGCTCGGAGGAGGTAAAGGATGAGGCAGGGCTGGAGGATGCTGCTTAGGACCTACAGCGCTCTGCTACCCAGGTGATCTTTCCCCAGTGCCAGCACAGCTTTAACAGTGAGGTTTCTGGGGCTAATCAAGATCGACATACAAACAAAACAGCATCTCTGCATCTCGCAGCCAGCAGAAAGGGAGAAGCAGATGGGCTAGAGGAGGCAGGGAGCTGCTGCTAAATGGATTGATGGAGAGGCCTTTAAGAGAGATGGATTGGAGAGGGAGCCGCTGGAGGAAAGGGCCGGGGCGGCCACGCTGTGAATGGGGCAGGGGCCCAGGGAGATGATGGGAAGGGAGAAAGGCCTGCAGATAACAGATGGATGGACACAAAGACTGGAAGGGAAGAGAGGGACAGATGGACAGGCAATAGAGAGAGTCAGGAGAAGAGAGGGATCTGGACATAATTAGATTGGATCCGATTATGACAGACTCGATTAGAGCAATATTATGATCAGGAGCTTCTGTCGCTATTTGGCTTTTAGGGGGGAACAAAGCCAGAGAGCACGTGTGGAAGGGGGACAAGCAGAGGCGAAGGGAACCGGGAAGGATGAAAGGAAAGGGGCTCCTTGTGAAAGCTGTCAGTGGTGGTGGTGACAGATTGTCTAGTTATCGAGCACCGGGGCCGTCTGTCACCGACCGCTCACAAAACCTGCACTCAATAAAAGCCAGGGAGACAAAGGCGAGGAGAGGAGAGGGGCTACGAGAGCTTCTGTCACTAGCCAGGCAAGCGTGCCCAGGGCGTGGGGAGAGCTGTGCAGCTCCGGGGCCTTCTGTTATTAGTTAGGCACATGCACAAGTAAACACGGGTGTGCCTGTGAGCACACGTGGGGCTGAGGGGTCCGGACCTTGCTCAGCCGCCTTCCCCCCACACACGTGTACTCTGTGTCTGGGCTTTGCACGTGCACGTGTGCTCCTGCACACGCAGCTCGCCCAGCCCGCCCGCGTTTTTGTGCTCTGACAGAATCCCAGAATCATCTCGGTTGGTAAAAGCCCTTGGAGCTCCTCCAGCCCAACCGTGAACCTCACCCTGACCGTTCCCAACTCCCCGAGATCCCTCAGCGCTAAGCACATGCCCCAAAAAGCCCTCGAGTCCCCTGGCTCCGCAGGATGTCACCACCCTGAGTGAAGAGCAAGGGGCTGCCCAGGTGCTTCTCCAGCGTCGATCCAAATCGCTCTGCTTCCTGCTCAGCATCTGCAAAGAGCCCGGGCACGTCGGCCAGCTGAGCGTTGTGATGTGGTCAGCGAGGCCTTGCACCGTCTGGGCGGCATCTGACCCTTCGTGGCCAGCCCAGGCTGCAGCCGTTGGTTGCAAGAGCTCGCTGCAAACCAGATGTGATGGAGCTGGCAGCTGCCCCCTCCACAAACTGCACTTGGGCATGTCTGGATAAAGTATAATGGCACCAAAAGTGATGCTGTGGATGCTGCAGGATCTCTGATGGCTTGGCTGCAGGGAACAGTCCAGAAAGGCAGATTGGCCAGAGAGGACTTTGCCATGAACGAACAGCTGGGAGGTCACAGCAACATGGGGGAGCCCAGCGCCTTTTGTTCTGCGGAGGGGCCTTGCTGGGAGACGGGGCTCAGTCCCAGCACGTGCATGAAGGTACCGGTTGATGGGCAGGAGCAGTAATGTCCCCCAGGGACTCTCTTTCCAGCGTCTATGAGTTGTGGCAGGGATCTCCTTCCAGATCTCCCACCCCTAGTTCGGACACGCAGCCCCACGCTCTATAAAAGTTACTCCGGCTGGGGCTGCTCCAGCAGCACAAGGGTTAAAGCTGCCTGTCTTCCCTGACAAGCCCAGGCCAGCGTGGTCCCCAGTGGCTTTGCACAATATGTCGCCTAGTCTCCTGCCAAACGCTGCCTCTCCTGGTCTCTTTTCATACCTCGTCGTGCCCTCACGGAGCCCACACGGGAGGCCTGGAGTGACCAGCCCACCCCGGGGCCCCTCAGCCCTCTTCCACGGCTCCTCTCTCTGCTGCTCATCCCCCCATGGGTTGAGGTGGGTGAGTTCTTGGGGGGCTTCATCCCCTCGGGTGGAACCACCACAACGGACCCACCTGGCTCCATCAACCTCCCAGGTCAAGCCAAAGGTATCGAGAGATTTTGAAGGGTTGACCAGGCTCCCACTGGCGTTTACCAACCTCGTACTTCTTGGACACTGCGTTGAAAGGGAGGCCCAGCGATTCAGAGGAAACAAGGGGTTTCTGCAGGCTGCGGCTTGTGGGCACCTGAGATTACAAAACCTGGTTGGTTTTGACAAGGAATAACCAGTTTCTGCCAGCCAGGAAGTTGGGAAACTCGCAGGTGAAGAACAAAGCCAGAGGGTCTCTTGTTTTCCCTCGCTCAAATCTCATCAGGTTTTTGTCAGCCTGAGGATAGTTGAAGCTCAGAAGTTCTCGCTGAGGAGGTGGAAACCAAGGCAGCAGCCAGAATCCCCGAGACCACAGGTTGCAGGCTCTGAGCGGGGACCGGGGCGGATTGCAGCCACGGGGGGAATATTGGCTTGGGTTGCAGGAGAAAGGTCTGGGGTTTCTCGCTCTGCCGTCACCCTCCCACGAGACCTGTGCCTGTGGCTTCATCTTCCCCCACCGCCCGGCACAGCCCTGCCTGTGGAGACAAGCCAGTCGGCCCTGCAAGGCTTTGTGGGCTGCGTCCTGCCCGCTGACACTTCTCAGGTACAAAAAGGAACCTTTTTCCAAGCTGAGGGACGTCCCCAGGTGAAATCCTCCCTCACGGCAGTACAAAATTTGGATGCTGACAGATGAAGGGGCCTTTGCAATCTCAGGTCTTACCTGCGGGAGGAGGAAGGCTGAGAGTCTGCGTCATCCCAGGGCAGAGTTAAGGTGACTGCGCTACGGGAAGGGGCCCTCGGCCGCTGGGAGCAGACGCTGTGCTTGTGTTGCTGCAGCCGAGCGGAGAGGGCTGTCCCCTGGCAGTGTCCCCCCTGGTAGCGTGTCCCCTTCCCTGGGGCTGAGCCGGGCACGTCCGTGTCCCCGGGAGAGCCTCGAGGATCTGGGGTGGGAGGATGGATCTGCCACCGCCTAGACTTGAGAGAAGAGTGGGAGCCGAAAGCTGCCCGCTCACCTGGACGCCACACGCCGTGATGGCCACGAGGCCAGCACAGATCGGGCCTGGTGGCCCCCATGGGGAGGCTCCAGCAGCCAGCTCCGCTCCTTCCCTCCCCTCCTCCCCGAGCCCAGCCCGGCAGAATGCCCGGAGCAGCCCAGCATCAGCTGCGGAGAGAGGTGGGGCCCTGCTGGCGTCCTGGCAGGGGGAGAGGAGCTGGCCCTGGGGGTGGGCAGGCGCGAGGGAACAGAGGAGGGACTGGGAGCGCAGAGCGAGAAATAAATACAAACAGCCCGTCCGGCTCTCGGGGGAGCCGGAGGGCCCAGGCGCAGTGCTGCAGCGCGGGAGGAGGGGGACGTGGGGTGCGCAACGGGGCTGGGGAAGGGGGTGGACGCGTCGGCCCCACTCGTACATCCGCACGGGAGAGAGGAGCTTGTTTGGGACGCGTGTGTGCGAGCTGCGGGACGGGCATCCCGGCCCGTGCGCGCGTGTCTCGGGGCGGATGAGGCTCTTGCCATGAGCTCGTTAGGGGAATATTGTTTTCTAATCGGTGCCATAGCAATGGCGAGGCAGGCGTCTCGCTGCCACCTGATCCCTCCGCCTTGTCCGCCGCTCGCCCGGCAAACTCCGAGCCCATCTGCTGCTCCGTGCCACGGGCTGGAGTCGGCCCAGGTGCGGTTGCCCATCACCTGGGCTTCGCGGGCCTCGTGCAGGGGAGGGCAACCAGCCCCCAGGGCTTGGAGGGGGGCGAGGAGGGGGCCAGAACCTTCAGCACTCAGTGGAAGGAAGAGATGAAGGTGGGAGACTCCAGCAAGCAGGCTGCGGGGAGGGCTGGGAGGACGCCCGGGGATACGTGTGCGCGGGATGGGGGACGTGGGGATGTCACAGCGGGGAGTTTCCTGATAATAGGGACAAACCGGAGCAGATTTTCTCCAGAGAGAGTTTAACGGGAGAATTTGAAACTGGAGAAGGGTGAGAGGCAGAGACCAAGTCTAACCCATAAAAGAGATCATTGTTTCAGGGTTAAATAGAGGAGCAGCGTTTCAAAGCGATACCTGTGTATTCTGGGTACCTCTTCCTTTCACTTTCTTTCTCTTTCTCACCAGACTTTGCTCCAGGTGAATTTTACAGCAGCTCCCAGGCAGGACCTGGGGGACAGTTGTTGGTGCTGGTAGAGCCCGGGCTGGCAGAGGTGATGCGGGCACCACACGCGTCCCACACAGGCGCCCACGGACCCGTGTGTCACGCGGCTG